ATCCAGAGGAACTGCACTACACACATGGCCTTCTTGTATAACAAACCATCTGCCATCCACCGTGCCTGAGGTGTTGAGAAAGAAGGCCGTACCGGAGCTACACAGCAACGCCGTATCGCATGGCGTGTGACCGACTTCAGCTTTAACGTCTCATGTGCGGCAATGTTCACGCACGACGCTGGATCCGAACCTTCCCGATCCTAAGGTCAGTGCCAGGCTGGCGCCGCCCCCGTCGACAACACCAAAAACACCCCCTGAGGCCCTGCCCTGGATGTGTCACGCGAGATGCATTTAGAGACACACGCACACACACACTTGTCTTGCGTCGGCGGCTAGGCAGAGTAAGTGCGCTGGCGGAGAGCTAACTTAACAGGGAGAACACATCTCTCTCTATATATATATATAACATGTATACACACACGCACACACGCACACACCCACACACACACACACGCACACGCACACACGCACACACACACACACTTGGCAACACACGTGACGGCGAGACCCAGGCCGGCTTCCTGCAAGCAGGGCGCCCCGCTGGACCTCCCGGGAGGCTCAGGAGGTGGCTGCCGGCGAGATCGGACAAGCAATGCGAGGCAGGGATTTATCCGTATCCACCGCCTGGGAACCGACGTCCTGGTGACCCTAGCGGGCGGTGGATCTGGATACAGTTCGGCCCCTGGGGGCCCAAATATGTCAATATCCACCGCCTGCCGAGGCTCCGAAAACTGACCCGCCACGCGGTGATCATGTAGAAATTCCCGCCTCGGAAAGCGAGTTCCACCACTCGCAAGGTGGCTACTCGCAAATGGCCTGGATCCGCCGCGGGAGATCTACCATCCGTGACACAAAGGAAAGCGTGTGTTTCTCGACGTTTGCGAGTCGGCACTCTGCGAGTAGTAGAACGCGCTCGGTGAGAGATACAATATGCATGCCCCAATGGCGGCCCTGCGCTGGATTGCCTCCAGAAGGGCACATGACATGCGACAACTGTCAAGTTGGCAGCGTCCAGCGAGGCGAAGCCCTGCCTGCAAGCCCTGGGGGTGCGCCCCAGTGGACTCGCAAGAGGCGTAAGACATGGTTATATCCGTACGCTCCACAACACACAGTTAATATAAGCATAGCTGTGTAAGGTGTGCTACGTTATTACAGGTGCGACTTCGCTACTGCAACTGATCTCACGACTGCAAGACCCGCGACTGTGCTCCCAAAACGCTGTACAATTGCCACAGGAACGCATGCCCGCGACAGAGCTTGTCCACCTCTACCTCCGCCATTTCTTCCTGCTCTTTCTGCTCTTGCTGATCCTCCTCCACCTCCTGCTTCCCCATTCCCTTCCCCTTGATCCTCCATCTCGCACTCATGTACGCTGCCTCTCTATGCAAGGCTGGATCACGAACGCTCCTGCTGGGTTCCAGAACAGACTCGGACGATCGGGTGCCGCTGGTTCCCCAGAGGCTGCCCAGCGTTCTGGCCTGCAGCCGCACTCTCCTTGGCAGGAAGGGCAAGCAATCGAGAAATTCTGGGCGCCTGCCACTGCGCTCACATTGTTACGAATTTCGCCCTTCTGGACCCCCCCCCGTCGCCACTGACGGATGTGGCTCCCCGACGGAGCGATTCCCTGGATGGGTCTAAAGGGTGACTGTGAAAGGACCCTCGTCGGGGACAAGTTGACTTCTGGACATAAGGCGCGTATTAATCGTCGGAACAAGAAACAGAACCAACATACATTTCACACAATCGTCGAAATTGTTCTGCCTGGATGGCCGAAACGGAACAAACCGATCCAAGCGGGGGCCCAAAGGTAGTGCCGATCGAATAAGATATGTGCTGTCTATGTTGACCTGGCTGTCATGAAACATGCCTCCAACACTGGCTGACATAGGACACCGCACAAGACCCGTTTTCTGCCAGTGCTACTCGCATGCCCTCTATACACCTCCGTTTTCAATCGGCTCTGAGCTTCGATTGACATCTGGACATGTACAGCGTTGCTGACCAGAGCGTCGCGCTGCTATATGAGTGTGACCGCGGACAAACAACTCCCCAATTAATACCCGCTACTGCAACGGGCACACGCCACGCCCAGAAGGTGCGCGCAACAGTCAGCAGCAGAAGCAACGTGCGTATGGGTGTAGTGCCTAGATAGCACGGCTCCAAATTCTGATGCGGTGGTGGCTAGTCCACAAGAAACCCTCCACAAGAAACCCAACCCTGAGACCCCAGGGAATCCATAGATGTTTGATGTGGGAACGTCACACTTTCCATCGCAAAACCATCGAAAACAAAGAAACCCAGGACACCTTGAATGCAAGTGGGGTGTGTCTTGGCATGGGCCTCCACTGTAGCTTCACACCCGTGCGTCCTGGGCGCCCCCGTCTGACTGGCTCGACACCGCACGCTGCATCGCTGGCGGAGCAGACGTGCTGCGGAGCGAACTGCGGGTCGTGCTCGGCGTCCCAGCCGTAGGCGCTGGCGTAGGCTCTGCGGTGGGTGCCTGCTCCGCTACAGGAGTCCGAGAGTCCGAACAGAAGGTCGAGCCGCTCATCATCGTTCCCAACGCTCCTCCAACGCCGCGTGCTGCGAAAATGCGGTGGCGGGAAACGACACGCGAGCATATGCTCGATAAATGTTGGGACAGCGTGTCGCCCTGTCGACCCTGGCGACACGCTATGTCCTGCGAGCGGATGGCGTGTCGCTCCGCTCCGCGGGACGGGAGGATCGGAAAAGTTCCCTGGAAATGAGGACGTGGATAGCGTGTCACCCCGAAGCGTAGTGGCCCAAAACCGGCCGAACGACACGCGATCCATACGTTCCCGACCGTAGGCCTCCCAGATGGGGTCCGAGCTGATGGGGTCGGAGGATCGCGCCGCCTCGCCGATGCATCGGCGATGCGGCTCGATGTGGAGCCCGACGCTATCCACGCCCACGCCGCGGATGCATCGCCGACGTCGCAAATGCGTCGCCGATGCATCGGTGATGCATCGGCGATGCGGCGCGATCCTCCGACCCCATCTACTCCGACCCCACCTGGGAGGCCTCGAGGCAGAGGCAAGGGTAACCAGAGAGATATGCTGACCCCTACCTCGATTTCGTGAAATTTTCGGACGGGCCAGCAATTTGGGGCCCAACCTGGGGATTCACAAAAGGGGGTGCGCCCATTCTCGACAAGGGTGCGTTCGAATACCCCGCTGGGGGCGTATCCCCGCGTTCCCCGCCTTTCAGTTTGATTCTGAGTGGAAGTTCGGGGGCTTGGGGCGAGAAGTCGCCTGCGAGTGGCGGGAGGGCGTTTCCCGACCGACCCAACGACTAGGCGATACAAACATTCCCCACCGTGGGCTTCGGACGTCCACGGGCAGCGCGCATCTGCTGCCCGTGCCCGTGGACGTCCGGCGGTTCCGCGCGCGCGCGCGCGTGTGTGTGTGTGTGTGTGTGTGCGTGTGCGTGTGCGTGTGCGTGTGCGTGTGCGTGTGCGTGTGCGTGTGTGTGTGTGTGTGTGTGTGTGTGTGTGTGTGTGTGTGCGTGTGTCTGCGTGTTTGTGTGTGCATACGCGTGTGCGCGTGTGCGTGCGTTTTGATCCGGCCTCCGAGCTGGGGAGCGGGCGGCGGCGCAGGATGATCCCGCACCCCCCCCCGGGCGAAGGGGGTTCAGCGGGTGATGGTGATGGCGATGACGACGCCGATGGCTCCCCAGAGATCCGACGCTCCAGACGGTCTCGGGGGCCTTCTCCGGCCTCGGGGGCGCCAGTTACGCTACCGAGGAAACCCACGTACTTGATCAAAATTTTGTGTCTGCGTATCGTTGCCATATATGCGCAATCCTGTGTCCTGAGCCCTCGTCGCGATTTTTCCCCGGTTCTGCCATCCATCGCGCCATTGCGTGAAACTGCTCCAGCATCCCCACCTTCTATCCTCCATCGGGGAAACATTCGCGGCGGTCTCCGAAGGCCGTTTCCTGGGGCGGCAACGAGCAATGAGGTAATGCAAGACGACCTGCCGCATCGCGGCTAGTCAGGGGGCCCACTGCGGAAGCCGGTGCGAACCAAACCCCATCGCGCAGTCGCTTTAGGAAACCTCTAGAATGATCCATGTGCAGTCCCCTCATGCTGCGTTCACCCGCGCCCATGCATCACTGTCTCACCTAGATCGGCCTACTTTTTCTTAACGTATTCTCACGCAATTCCCGCGTCAGTCCCCGCGTCTCGGCGGCAGGTGGTCTCTGAGCAGCGCGCGCAAGGGAATTGCAGAGAAAACATAATCCGCCTGCGCGCAATCTGTGCGTGCCCTTCAATGGAAAATCTCCAGGCTGCGGTTGCCGCGAAGACAAAAGCTGGGCGGCCGCGCCGAAATCGTCGAGGAGCGGCGCGGGCCGCGCGAATTCGAGTCGGCTGGACAGCGCTGCCTTTGTCGGAAAGACTCCGGCGCCGACGCGCGCCGACGAATTCGCGCCGCCGGCAAGATGCATAAGCGCTCTGGAGTTCCAGGGCGAGGCCCTCGATCTCCCTTGTTTCCGCTGCCAGGCGCGCATCGAACTTCTGGAGCGCTTCGAGCACGGATGGAAGCGGGCATTCCTGCAGGGCATCCCTTGGCGGCGGCCGAAACAAGTGCATATCGCCCACGCAAGTGGCTCTACTGAGCATCGCGCGCCGGTGCAGCCGCCAGTTCTCCGCTCTCTCCTCCGGTCTGCCAGTGCTCATGTCCTGCCTGCGCGCAGTCGATGGTCGCCCCGGCGCGGATCGCCTGGCCCTGTAACGCGGCGGGCGCCAGGAAGCGACCGCGCGCGAGCGCGTGCCCACACCGCCCCACCAGGTGCGCGACGTTGGCGCTTTGGGATATGAAGAGCGCCTCCATTAGCGTAACAGAACAAGCCATCGCCTTCTCTTTCTGGATCCCGAAAGAGTCGACGAGGGCACCCACCGCGTCTGGGCCATGCTTCTCGAACATGTGCACTTGCATCCACATTCCGGCGGGCAGACACCGCGGGCGGGTGACCTCTCCAGCAGCGCACGCGTCGCACCTGTTCTGGTCGTTGCTTTCAAACGCGAGGCTCATGATCGTGGCCATCTGCTCCTGGATCAAACTCTTGCGCTTGGACACCTTGACGGTGAATCTCACCTCCATGCCCACTGACGCAAAGAGAATTCCGCGCATGTGCACCGTGGATGAGACGCGTGTTCTCGCCCGCGCACCCCCCGCCCCCACCCCGCGCGCATCTATCGAGGGTCATGGGCGTGCCGCGCCAGGTCGCGCCTTGGGAGCGCGAGCTGAATACCTAGGAAAAGGTCGAGAACTGCTGGGGCGGTGGAGCGACGCTGGAATGCGCCGCGCCTGCCGCGCTGCGTCGCGCACGGGGCACTTCGACAGAATGCCCAAACCGGAGCCTGGAGCGCCCAATTCGAATGCCGTGCGAGTCTGCAGCGCATGGCGCCCCCACCCCCAGCGCACCCCTTTGCGGCGTCGAGAAAATGCCGCGCCTACCACGCCCTGCGAGCCTGCAGCGCATAGCGCCCCCAACCCCCGCGCGCCCCCTGCGGGGTCGAAGAACTGCAGCGCCTGCCGCGCCCTGGGGGCATGCAACGCATGGCGCCCCACCCCGGGCGCACCCTGTGTGGCGTCGAGGAAATGCCGCGCCTGCCACGCCCTGCGAGCATGCAACGCATATCGCCCCAACCCCCAGCGCGCGCCCTTCGGCGTCGAGGAAATGCCGCGCCTGCCGCGCCTTGCGAGCCTGCAACGCATAGCGCCCCCACCCCCAGCGCGCCCCCTGCGGCGTCGGGGAAATGCCAGGCCTGCCACGTCCTACGAGCCTGGAGCATATAGAGACCGCGCTCAGGGACCGCCCCCAGCGCACCCCCTGCGGCGTCGAGAAACTGCAGCGCCTGCCACGCCCTGGGGGCATGCAACGCATAGCGCCCCCACGCCCTGCGCACCCCCTGCGGCGTCGAGGAAATGCCGCGCCTGTCGCGACCTGCGAGCCTGCAACGCATAGCGCCCCCACCCCCAGCGCACCCTCTTCGCCGTCGAGGAACTGCCGCGCCTGCCATGCTTTGCGAGCCTGCAACGCATAGCGCCCTCACCCCCAGCGCACCCCCTGTGGCGTCGAGGAAATGCCGCGCCTGCCACGCCCTGTGAGCCTGCAGCGCATGGCGCCCCCACCCCCAGTGCACCCCCTGCGGCGTCGTGGAAATGCCATGCCTGCCACGCCCTCCGACCCTGCAACGCAGAGCGCCCGCCGCCAGCACACTCCCTGCGGCGTCGAGGAAATGCAGCGCTGCCACGCCCTGCCCCTGCGAGCCTGCAGCGCATAGCGCCCCAACGCCCAGCGCAACCCCTGTGGCGCAGAAGAAATGCAGCGCTGCCACGCCCTGCGAGCCTGCAATGCATGGCGCCCCCACCCAGAACGCGCGCCCTGTGGCGGCGAAGAAAATGCCACGCCTGCCATGCTTTGCGAGCCTGCAACGCATAGCGCCCCAACCCCCAGCGCACCCCCTGTGGCGTCGAGGAAATACCGCGCCTGCCACGCCCTGTGAGCCTGCAACGCACAGCAAGCACACCGCCAGCGCACCCCCTGTGGCGTCGAGGAAATGTTACGCCAGCCGTGCCCTGCGAGCCTGCCACGAATAGCGCCCCCATCCACAAAAATACCCCCTTGTGGCGTGAAGAAAATGCCACGCCTGGGATGCCCTGGGCGACCGTGCGCATGCGTGTCGGGCGTGTGACGCAGTGCGCCTGCCACGCCTGCCACGCCCTGCGAGTCTTGAGCGCATGTGTTTTGCGTGTGTGCATGCGCGCGGCTGTATGTAGAACGCGCGTTTCATCTACGCGCCGCGCATGTTTCGCGCGCGGGTGAAGCGAGGAAGAGGAGGAGAGGAACACGAGGAGGGGAAGAGGGAGGTGCGTGTGCGTGCATGCGCGCGTGTGTGAGAAGAGGAGACGCGGGCGCGACGCGGCAGGGAATACTTACGCGGCCGAGGAACCCACATACTTAGTTTTGACTCCTTTCTTCGCATAGCTGACGCGCAACATACGTGGATGACCTAAGTGGGCAAGACAAAAGCCACGTCTGCTGCGCCGTGAACATACAAGGCGGAACGCGCCTCCAGCCCCAACGCGCCCCCTGTGGCGTCGAAGGAATGCCGCGCCTGCCATGCCCTGCGACCCTGCAACGCATAGCGCCCTCACCCCCAGCGCACCCCCTGCGGCGTCGAGGAAATGCCGCGCCCTGCGAGCATGCCCATGTGGGAGCATGCAACGCTTAGCGGGAGCATGCGACGCATAACGGGAGCCTGCACCGCATAGCGCCCCCACCCCCAGTGCACCCCCTGTGGCGTCTTCGAAGCAGTTCAACGCCTGCCACGCCCTGCGAGCTTACAACGCGTAGCGCCACCGCCCTCAGCGCACCCCCTGTGGCGTCGATGGAACGCCGCGCATGCCATGCTTTGCGAACCTGCAACGCATAGCGCCCCCACCCCCGGCGCACCCCCTTGTGGCATCGAGT